TATAAGCGTTATAAGGGTCGGCCGATCTGAATCGGCCGATCCTTATGAAGTATGGAGATACCCTAAAGTATGCGCGCATCCGCGAACGTCAACAGTTCTTAGCGATGAAGAATCGTTTTAATGACGTCACAAACAAGTCCTTACAACTTTTATTTCAGAGCAACAAAGGAGAAGAAGAGTCAGAGGTTAGTTAACAGTTTACTCCAAACTTAAGATAACCTTGAATAAAGTTAAATCCTGTCAGAGAAACGAAAGTGCCAAAGATGCTAACACGAGAGCCTCAGTCAAATCCATCAAAACGGTAGCTAGAGTGCCATAAAGCTTTTGTAACGAGAAATTGCATGTTTTAGGTTGCGAGATACTGTAGATGTTGAACCTGCTCTGCCCAAACAACAGCCAAAAACAAAGATTACACAACCAGTGCCCCCGAAAAGTCCGGCGATCAAAATCATGGCCAATTAAACTTATTTTATTTTTTAGAGTCCACTCGTCAAAAAACAAAATTAAAAAGTAGACCGATGCAAGAACAATCAATTATAGAGCTTGCAGCGAAAGTAAAGAAGAGAAAACCAAGGACTATGGGTCCAGAGGTAAGCCTGATTCCTTCACTATGATTTACCACATTTTGAAAGATTCCAGAAAAAGAGATCTGTTGATGAAGATCCTTTCCCCCGTCAGCATGTTGGAAAACGAAAAAAGAAACGAACAAAACAGCCGAAAGTAGAAGAGTTTGTCCCAAAAATAGACTCGGCTTTTTTGGTGCCCGACGCCGATATGTTCCAACAAGAGCAACCGAAAAACTTATCGGGTGAAGTGGCAGTTAAACCAAGCGGAACTACATTACCAAAAACTGGACTACCAATGGTGCAAGGGAATAGCGATAATAATGGTGTGATACTTGTAAATGGACAACCTTTTTGGTTCAGCGATGTACCCCCGGTAAGAAAAATCTAATTTAAAATAGTGAAATGGGATTTAGAGTAAGGATGAAATAGATTGTTGGCTTATAGTAAGCACATTTGAAATTTTGGTAAAGGAACAAGAATAGGAGGATGTAGAAGGAAAAAGTCAATGAAATTATCAGCTCATCAAACATCAACGCGCATATAATATGGAACTTTATGCCCCAAAAAACTTATAGTTTCTGCGGTAACCTACGGTGTTGCATTCACCGCAAAAGCGCGGATACGCATTGCGCATATTGCTGCCTTTGACGCGAACCTGCTTGGTACGACAACCTAAAGGGGGGGGGGGGG